GGGCCCCCCCCGCGGGGCGCGGGGGGCCTGCCTCGCCGCGTCTCGGGCGCTCGGGGCGGAGCGGGGTTATCTCCTCTGCTCCATGCTCAGACTCCCCCGCCGGCTCCTTCCTGACCGTGGCCGGGACGGCAGCAAAGACTCGCCCGCGTCCCCCCGGGCTGCTGGGGGCCCGAGTGCGGCTGACCGGGGCTCTGGGGCAGGAGGCTGCACGGATGCTGCCCCCCTTGCCCTGCCCGTCTGCTGCGGGCTCCTGGTCGTGCAGTAAAAGCCTCCGGCTGCTGCCTCCGGGAGTTGGTCCACGCCGCGCACGTGCCTCGTCCCCTGGCGATAGTCGGGCCGTGGAAAAGCCACATCTCAGCCCGTCCCTCGCACTGACTCACTCCTCCCGGGCGCTGCAGGGCCGGCGTGGTGGTGACTGGGCGGCACATGAGGCTCCGCGGGCAGCGCGGGCCCTCGGGAGCGGATGAGACGCTTCCTCCAGGGGAGCCTGTGACAGGCAGAGCAGCCACGAGCCCAGCCCCTGGGGGCTCTGCCCTGCCCGTCTGGGGGGTGACTGCTTTGGGAGCACGGGGGGCCCCTGGAGGCGTGTGCCCTCCAGCCAGACCTGTCATGGGGCGTCCCCATCATTGCTGCCTCTTAGCACCGGGCTGGTGCCGGCCTGGTCGGGGTGTGACTGGAGCTTTCCCTGCTTTGTTTTCCAGGTGTCTGCTACACGATATTTGACCTGGGCTTCCGCTTTGATGTGGCCTGGTAAGGGCCCCCCGTCAAACTCTGGCGCACTGCCAGGGGCGAGGGGCTGGGGCTGGAGCCAGGCAGTGGGGGGGTAAAAGCAACACCTGCTCCTGGACTGGCCCACAGCTGCGCTGTCTGCGTGGGGGGGGTGGTCCTGGCACCGCAGCGTGTGACAACAGCTGCTTTGGTAGGAGGCTCGGGGGGGCCTGGCCTGGCATTCGGTGATTAGAGCCGTCTGGCAGGTGCAGGCCTGGCCCCGGTGTGGAGGGTGCAGCGGTTGGTGCCAGTGCTCCCTCCTGGGTCCTGCCCTGCTCCTCTGGGCAGCCAGCTCCAGCTCCAGCTCCGTTCCCTGCCCTGCCAGCTCCTGGGCACTCATGTCCCAGAAGCCTCCCAGCCCCTGCTGTGGAGCCGAGTGTGCAGGGGGCTGGGGAAGCGGGGCGGGGGACAGCGGCACCTCGCCAGGAGCCCCCTGTCTGCGACCCTGGCGCCCAGGGCTGGCTCCTGCCCTCAGTTTTCACAAGCAGCTCCATTCCCTGCCCAGGTTCCTGACGGAGACCTCGCCCTTCATGTGGGCCTGCCTGGGCATCGGCCTGGCCATTTCGCTCTCTGTGGTGGGCGCTGCCTGGTGAGTCAGGGTCTGTCCCTGTGAGCTTCCCCATCGTCCCTGGGCCTGCGCAGCCAGGGCCGGCCAGTTGGGAGGGAGGCAGCTTGCCTGCCACGCTGCCTGGGAGAGGGTGAAGCCATGGTCCTTGGTGGCCTGGCTGTGATGCGGGGGCTGAGCTCCCCTGGGCGTTGTGGCAGGACCTGATGCTCCTGCAGGGAGGCTGGTGGCCGTGCGGTGCCTGTCTGGGCCGGGGGGAGAAGCCCAAGCCCAGGCCCAGGGCCAGCATGCCCCAGGCTGCCTGCACTGACGCGCTTCTCCGCTGCAGGGGGATTTACATCACCGGCTCCAGCATCATCGGGGGCGGTGTCAAGGCCCCGCGCATCAAAACCAAGAACCTGGTCAGGTGAGGGGAGCAGTCGGAGCTGGTGGCAGGGGATGCAGGGCTGCACTGCTGAGGCAGGGCTGGGGGGCTCAATCCCTGCTCGGGAGGGAGGGAGGGACAGGAGTGCCCCGTTGAATGCAGTGTTGGGGGGTCTCCGGCTGCTCCGTATGGAAGGCGGGGGTGGGTACCGACAGAGGTGACAGGGCACGTGTGCCCCCTCCCACCAGTGAAGCATATGGACTGGGCCCCCGACACCATGGAGCTGGCCCCATACTCACCCCTTTGCCTTTCTCCCACAGCATCATCTTCTGCGAGGCTGTGGCCATCTACGGGATCATCATGGCCATTGTCATCAGCAACATGGCTGAGGTGCGCGGGGACCTGCCTCTGCCTGACCCCAGGGCCCCGGGCACCCCACAGCAAGGCTTGGCCAGGGGGAGTCTTCACAGCTTTCCTCTGCCAGCCGCAGCCAGAAGCCCAGGCCCTGGGGGCAGAGGCGCCTTCGTGTGTGACAGCCCCACGGCTGCAGCCACAGAGCTGGGATCGCTGGGTCCCAGCCCGTCTGGTCCATCCCACAAGGCCTGAGGGCTACAATGCCCGCACTGTGAGGAGTCAGCAGGGATCTGGCTGAGCTCCAGCCCCTCGTGCCCTGCTCAGCTGCCCCCAGGGTGCACAGAGCCACGAGGCTGGCGTAGATCTGCAGGGTCACGTCCAGTGCAAGCCCTGCCTGAGGCAGGATCAGCCCTGTCCAAACCAGCCCAGACAAACCCACGTGTCCGGCCTCTGAGCGACACGACACCGCTGCCCCTGAGTGCACCAGGCGTCACTCCTGCCCCCGGGAAAGCAGGGGGGCTGTGGCCACCAACCTCCTGCTGCTGCAAAGCGGGGGGTCATGGATGCTGGACAGACCCCAGGTAGAGGCCGTGCCAGGACCCTCCAGCCTCGAGTCCCAGCAGGAGCGTTGGCACAGCCCCCGGCCTGGGCTGCAGCTGATACCCAGCGCTGCTGAGGGAGGCAAGAAACAACCTTAAGCCTTGTAGGTACAGGCTGGAAGTCTTTTCCCTTCCCCACTAGCATCCAGCGAAGCCCGAGAGTGTTCCCTGCAAGGACGGGCAGGCCCCAGAGCAGGGGGCATGATGGGGGAGGCAGGTAGCCGAGTGGATGGGGCTGAGTTGCTGAGGGGGCAGGGATCTGTGGGAAATGCCCCGTGTACGTAGCACTGGCAGAGCTGTGGGCATAGCCTCGGGGGGCAGTGCTCTAGGGCTGTTTCGTGCCGGGGCCCATATCACGGGGCTGGGCCCTGGACGTCTGGGTGTGTTCGGGCCCTGCCCCTCAGGGAGGGTCTGTGCAGTGCCACTGACCCCTGCCATGTACCTTCCCCAGTCTTTCACCGGCACCACCCCGGAGTCCATCGGAGCCAGGAACTACCATGCAGGTAGGCGCTGCCTTGCCAGGGCCCCGTACCAGCCGGGTGCCTGCGTTCTCGCCACGTGTGGCCCTGGGGTGTTCTCTCTGCCCAGCTGGCGCTATCCCAGGGCCCTGCTATGTTTGCAGGAGGGAGCCGGGCACAGCCTGTGGCAGAACTGTCCTGCTGCCCCTGCGCCCCTGGGCTTTGTCACTTGGCCCTGGTGGGATCGGGCTCCATCTGCTGTGTCGTGCCTGTGGGGGGGGGGGGGCCCTTCCCAGCTCATGGGGTGGGGTGGGGGGGCTCTCCATGGGGCAGCCCCTGCCTCTGCCAGTGTGCTGCTCCCCTTGGACGTGGTGATGCCAAAAGAAGCCAGCTGACATACCTAGGCTCAGCCCCCCTGCCCCCTCCGTTGGGCACTGCATCAGGGCTGTGGCCAGCTGGGCACATGGGGGTCCTGCCAGGTTCCCATCTGTGCCTGCCGGCCCTCACGGCACCCCCTTCCTCCCTCGCAGGCTTCTCCATGTTCGGGGCGGGGCTGACGGTGGGGCTGTCCAACCTGTTCTGCGGGGTGTGCGTGGGCATTGTGGGCAGCGGGGCCGCGCTGGCTGACGCCCAGAACGCCAGCCTCTTCGTCAAGATCCTCATCGTGGAGATCTTTGGCAGCGCCATCGGCCTCTTCGGTGTCATCGTCTCCATCCTGCAGGTACCCCCCGCCCCCCATCAGCCTGCCCAGCGGGGGATGATGATGATGATGCCCTGGCCCCTGGTGCTGGCCAGGCCCCTGCAGCCCTTGCTCTACCCACCCTCAGTGCCTGCTCCTCTGCAGCAGGGGCAAGGAGCAGCCCAGGGCGTGGATGTCCCTGGGGCACCTTGGGTACTTGGCAGGGGCGCTGTGGGAGCTGTGCTGGGGCATGGGGGCTGCTCTGGGTTGGGCACGGGGTGCAGTGAGAGTAGGGGGACTGCCTGCAGCCGTCGGGCATGGTGCCTAGGGGCCCTGCAGCTAGCACGGCCCAGGGGTGGGGATACCAGGCTGTAGGGGCTCCAGCGGCGCCTTTCTAATCTGTCTCCTCTCTCTGTCTCTCCCCAGACCTCTAAAGTAAAGATGGGGGACTGAGCCCCAGCCCAGCCCCGCCCCGCCCGGCCCAGGGCAGCTGTACATAGATATTTAATATTCCCTCCCGGGGCAGGCACTGACCCCTGCCCGGCGCGGAGCCCCGGGCCCCCCACTCCTTCCTGCTGGAGGAACCAGTCGTCTGTGTGTGCGTGACCCCCTGCCCGCAGCCGCCCGGTCCGGCGGGGCCCACCGCGCTACCGCCTGCCCCGGTGCGTGTGCACCCTGCTCGCCGTGCCGCTCTGCTCCGCTCCGCTCCGTGTCTGTGCAGTAAACGTGGTTCTTCTCCCAGCCAGCCGTGTCTGTCCACTCTGTGCTGCGCCCGGGGAGCGCCAGGCTTGTGGCCCTGCGGCCCACCACGGGCACGAGCTACAGCTGCACCACTGCCTCCCTCTGCCCTGCTTGCCCCCCCGCAGCAGGGAGCGTGCTCAGGCTGGCACAGAGCTCCCATCTGGGCCCAGGCCTTGGCCCCCAGCTGCTGCAGCAGCACCCTGAGCCTGGTCTGGGGGCAGGGGGTGTGTGGGTGGGGGGCAGCCCTGAGCCTGGGTCCAGTCTGTGACAGCCGCGTGC